CCCCTCAAAATCAACCCTTTATTTTTATTTGAAAATTTTCTTCGAAAAGCCTAAGTGGAAAGATTTAATCTCACAGAACAACAAAAAAGTACTTTTTCACATAGATTTGGAAGATTCAGATAAGAATTCCATAAAACAAAATCCATCTCTGTTAACAGCTCATGTATGACATATGTGTGCCACATGTTGAGTTCAGCTGTCCCCAGGCAGCCATGTATACATTCAAGGGCCTCTTAGAGATGTTCAGTACAAATGTCAATCTCCCACAGACTGCCAAGCCAACCTTCTGCAATGAGTCAGTATTTTGAAAGCTTTGAAAGCTTTCACATTTAAAGGTTATTCTTTCCCTTCTGACTTGAGGAAGAAGTAGGATTCATGGTTGTTTCCTCATTTAACCTTCATCTCTAGTGGTTTGGAGTTTTTTTCTAATTAAAAAAGAATAGATATATGAAAGTTTGCCAGGGCAGTCTTTAACAGGTTCTGTGTTTAAGGAAGAACTGTAGGGAATTTTTGTTCACTTGTACATGTCAAAGTAGGCGTGAATGCCCACCAAGGAGCATAATCGGCATTTGAATGAATTTCACTTCTTGCATTGAGCTGAGTTATATGTTCTTTGTGAACCTTTTACAGTGAGTAGAGGGGCAACTAATTACTAAAGATGCTTGTAACACTCCAATCTAAAATGCTTTATCTCACCTGATCCTCCAAAAACCCTCTTGACAATAAGGAGTTATTGCTCTTTTCCTCATTTGACAAAATGGCTGGAGGTGCAGGAGGGTCACTCAGCTCATAATGCCTTAGCTATTCAATGGATGTCACTCAGAAGCACTCTTAACCTTGATAGTAATAGTGTAGTGGCAAGAGACAAAAACCTCAATTATCGGTGCCTACCTTCTTAATTTCACCAAGTTCAGGGAGGATCAATAAACCAAAGTGTTCTGATGTCGCTGTTGCTGAGGAGCTTTGCATTTGGCCACTTTATTTAGGAGATGTGAGGAAAACAGGTGCTATGGGAATGCAGTGGTTCTCTGTTTTAGACAGATTTAAAGAGAAACAGAATCTCCATCTCCAGTATAAGACAAGCTAGCCAGAGAGACTGGCTCACAAGCAAATATTAGAAGGGAAAAGGTCTAGGCTTTGAGTTGGTACACTGACAATCAGGTAAGTCAAGGGCCACATTTCACATCCTCTCCCTTCTTATGGTCTGAGCTTTAATTCCACTTAGATCTGAGAATAAATGTGCAGGATTAATGAAGGGATGCTTTATATACTGGCTCTGACATAATGAATATCTTTTGCTGTTGAACAACAAATCCCTATTTAAAACATTTAAGAGTCGTGTTGAATTTATTTTAACAAGCTTGGATATATTTCTAAGTGCTCCATGTCCCAGGGGTTCTCTGTCACTTGTCTTTGTGGTGTTTGCAATAATAACAGCTTCCCACATTACTCCTTGTGTGGGTCATTACCCTGTCTGCCTGTCACTGCCACCCTATTTAAAGGATAGAGCAATTGTCATGCACTGCAATGGCTGAGGATGCCAAGGTTCAGAGAGGAGAAGCAACTTGCTCAAAGTCACATATCGCATAAGCAGGAGACCTTAGGTCCAAACCTATATTCCCTGATTTTGAATCCCATATTCTTCCATGCACTGCTAAAAATAACCTTTTGTGAGAGCCAATATTCATCCATACCTTGAAACTATTATCAGTACTGAGAAAGCCTTGATTTTCATGTTGCCACAAGGGACAAACCCATGATGACATTTAAACAGCAGGTGGTCATTCCCATCTCTTCTTCCACATCTGTTTTTCATTAAAGCAAAATGAGCTCAGCAGAGATCCTTCGATTGACTTTCCATTTCTATGCATCATTATCTTGAGGTCTCAAGTCTAAGAAGTCGTTTTGCTACAGCTCCCACCTCTAGAGTTGGAGGGAAGGGACAAAGAATGTCAAAGGCCTAAAGCTGAGGAAGGAGGAACCTGTACCCACGTACTTCATGAGAAAGAAGGCAGCCAAGAGTCCCAAATTCTAATTCTTACTCAGAAATTTTGAAGATTGTAGACAAAACTCCTCCCCTAATTTTGTCCAATATGAAATATAGAAAAGAACTCTCAGGCTCTTTACGCCAGGCAGAAAGGTTGCTGCCAAGCCCAAACTGAAGTGGACAGAGGAACAATGAAGAATTCGGTACCCTGCAGATCTAGGAGCTTGAACACCTGGATCCTCAACTCTCCAGATGACCCCAAAGCTAGTACAATACAGTGCTCGGCAGCATCCATGATCAGACTTCAGGCTCGTCTCAAACACAAACCACCAGGTTCGGAAAGTTTTCTCAGGACACATGACTTTCTTAGAGAAATATTTCATAGGTTGCCCCCAGAATGAAACCCCAGGTTACACATCCCTCTCCCAGTCCTAGCTGCCTCTTGCTCAGTTGAAAAAGTGAACCAGTGAGCTAGATGGAATTAATAATGCCCCCCAGACCTTTCCAAACGTCCTCCTTCTCCTCATCAAGAAACTCAATTAAGTCCTAATCCAAATAAGCCAAAGGTGGCTTGGGGAGGTGTCATGGGGTGGGGATGCATTGAAAGCCAGGTTTCTACACAGGTGAGTTTTCATCAGGCCTTTTCGGGCCCTCACAACCAGGCTAAGCTTGGCCACAGACTGCCCACAAACAGTGGTTGAGGTCACTTTCCATGTGGGATCTCTGAGCTGTAGAACAGCCAGGTGTGTGTGATGAGCCCCGGCTTCCGTATGCATGCTTTGTTTCTCTTGGTCGCATGCTGCTCTCTTCCACTTAACCTTCAAAGAGAACTGGGATGTCTGGCTCTTGGAGGTGTTGCCTTGCTTCCTTCAGGAGGTAGAGGCTGAGTTCACTATCTTACCATCTTGTGGCTGCCAACAATGAAACTGTTCTGACTGACTGGTTCTGTGCTCCGTGCTTTCCTGTGAACAGTCCTCTGCTCCTGCAGATTCCTCTCCCTTTGGCCTCCCCCTTGCTTGCTGTGCTTGGCCACATCTGCTGCTTCTGCGCACCTTCTCACTGGTCTACCTCCCCCACTATTGGCCATGTTTCTTCCTTGTATCGTACCCTGTTCTTGTCTCTTTACTTCATTTATCATCCAAGGAAATGGCTCCGATATGATCTAGATATTGCCATGGGGGCAAGAATGTGTGAGCTTATAGGTACAGTTCTTATTCTGACTGAATCAACATAAAGTAAGAATTAAACCATATGAGTGCATTTTTTTATTTTATATATTTCACCATAAGAGATGAAGATCAAAGCAATATCATCTGCCACAAACAGATGCTTCCCAGGTTGAGATTTGTATGTGAAAACGGTATGTGCGTACAGACAGGTTTGCAGCTAAAAGGCTGGATCCACTAATGCACAATGATGTTTCTTCACTGTGCAGAACGTGGTTGACAGCCAGTTTTGCAAACACAGAGCCATCCACGTTCTGTTTCCTGAGCGAATAACAGTGAATTCCAGCTGTTTATTCTGCTTTACCTGGCAGAGGAAGGGAGCCTTCAAAAAATTTTTCAATTTAACACAAGATTACACACACAAATGCATACATTGTAAAGCATATATACACGAACATATGTTTAATGTTTATGAGGGTTAGATACATTACAAAAGAGACAGGTACTTATATAATATATATGTGACATATATATGACAACTATTCCTAAAAGAATATATATTAGACAACTATTTCTAAAATACCAGAAAAATAAATTCTTCTAAAGGCAATCCCTAGAAGTCTTCAAAAAAAAATCTTATTTACATATAATTCATT